AATTTGGCGTATACATAGTTTGCGTTATCTGTTTAATTACAATTATTTATTATCGTTCTTAGTTATTTTATTTGATAAATTAAATCACGATTTACTTTTCGAATTTTATGACAATAAATAGATTTTAAAGTACGAATAAATCGAAAAAGAAAAGAAAGTATACCAATTTTCGTACACCAATAAATTTTATACGTAAGAAAACGAAAGTATTATAAATCCCAAGATAAATTCAAAATATTTTGTAAAACAAGGAGTAAGAGGCGGAGAGAAAACATACTACTTTTGTAAATTTCTTACTGAACAAATTACTACTATATTATCAAGTTGATTAAGACTTAAACATGCTCGGCGTTCGTTAACAATAGAACCTCCTGAGCTGAAACACTTTTCAACTGCTACCGAAGACACATGAATATAATGTATTTGCTTAGCAAGTATTGATAAAATAGGTAAAGCTGCTTGATAATCTTTCCAAAAGCCAAGAGAGTTTGAAGACAGCTTAGTCTTATCGAGCTTCCTAGACAAATATCTTGTTAGTTCATCAGCTTGTAACAGTATATTTTAAAATTTTAGTCAAAATTCAGTTTATGGGCCGCCTATCAAAAATCGAATCAGCCCAGCCCAGCCTATGGTTTTTTATTTTGAAAAATCTGGCCCATGGGCTGGGCGGTTATGGGCTTGGCCCAGCCCATCAGGTGCTCTGGTCAATATGATAGTCTATTGTTGAATATATTTTATCTAATTGTATTGAAGTGGTTCTAAGTTGATTATTTTAAATTTCACATCACTCCATTTCTTGTGAATTAAACACTCATCTTTGTCGGTTTCATTTTTCACGAAGAATTTCAATTGTTTACATTTAAGAACGCATATTTCTTTGATATCGGGTCGATCGATAAAATTTTGTGCTCCACCTAAATCTTGTCGACATTGTTTATTTCCACATCGAACTACGCCTACAACAAAGAAAAAAAACCAGACGGATACAACAAAAATGAAATCAATCGAATATTATTTATACCATTCACTTGGATTTCTTTATATATTTCTGGTTGTAGATACCGTTCGATTTCTACCTGTTCAACAAGTTGTCTTTCTGGAATAAAATAATTATTATTTCTTTGTCGTAGCCATGAAAGTTCTCCTAAATAATAATCACAACAACGACATGAAACTTTGCCATTGATAGTGTTTGGATCTGTTAAATTGGCACGAATCAACTCTCTCAATTCTGCTTCTGCTTGCCATTGACCAATAATAGAGTTCTAAAAAGACAAGAAAAAAATAAATTATCATCAGCAAAATAGTTCATAAACTTGTGTTGTGCGAATGTTTTCTTTCACTTGATCGGTTGGTACACGTCTCCAATCATTAAGTGCTTCGATCATTTCTTGTTCTTTTAAACGATTTATCCTTTCTTTCTCATGATTTTCTGAATCTAAACAATATCTCATTTAAATAGTTTTAACTATTCATATTCAATAGATTTTACATAGATCAACTACCAAATAACAAGCACTCTTGTCTGCTCTAGCTCGTCCTCTTGATTGAACGGTACCAATCTCATTGGAAACAAATTCATAACGAATAACAAATGAACATTCGGGAACATCCAAACCTTCTTGTACAATATCTGTAGCAATCATTACATTTGATAAACCTACAATGATATTATATATTCACTATAACTAATCAAATAATCAAAAACAAACCTTTTCGAAAATCTTTCAATGTTTTATCTTGTTCGGAAAGACTATTTTGATAATCAACACCACTTTGACCCACAAGCCAACAAGGTTTTATGATATCCTATTCAAATATTTTCTTTATTTCAAAATTAGAAATAATTCACTTACTTGAATATCTTCACGTTCTTTCAAATAATCAAACATCAGTTTTGCATAGAGTGTACGTGATACCAAAACTAGTCCTAAATAAGTACATTGAATAAAGCGAACGTTTGTTGCTTCGGCCTGATCGAAAAAAATATGATATACCTCTTGCATTTTTATCTCTTTTGTTGATTTGTTCTCGTAATAAATTGGTCAAAAAATCCAACTTAGGATTTGTTAAATAATATTGACTTTGTTTCAATTGTGTGACTATATTACTGATTTTTTTCAGGCAAATATCATGAACTTCAGTTTCAACTTCTAGTGGTGTTTCCTTTCGTCTATAATAAATTGATAAAAGAATTATTCACTTGAAAATAATTTTGCAAAATATACTTGTAAAATAAATCAAGTTTCTTTTCAATATCAATCATTACTGATCTCAATGGTAAATCACCTAGCGCATTGAAGCGTTTGACAAATATAATCATATAATTAATTAATATGATGTTGGTAAAATGATTTTTTTTTTCTTGTGAAATTCTTGCTTCGACTAATTTTTGTTCATCAGTTAAATTAGTAATTTCTGGATCAGGAGAGCATCGAGATAATATACGTGTCAATAATTCTGTAAGGCTTTCTTTTAACTCTTTTAAATATTGATCAAATGGTATCGATTCAACAGTAAGAATTCGATCATCTGTTGGTCGCGGAACTTTGTTATTTAATTCTTCTACATGTTGTTGTTCGATTACATTAACAACATCGAAACAATTAAGTGTTGCACATAATTCATAAAGCTTTCCAAGGGCTTTTGCTTTTCGTGTTTTTTCATCAAATAATTCTTTAAGTAGTGCTTGTGGATTTGTTAATTTTGTTCCACACGATGCAGTAAGACCAATAATTCTTGTTCGATCTGCAACTGGATGATAAACTAGATATTGTTCCATAATTTGTGAATATGGATGTCTACCAATACAATTATGACATTCATCAAAAATAATTAAATCAATATAATTTAAAGAAATTGTTTTATCTAATAAACAATTGAGAAATTTTTGCGGTGTACAAACAATAACATGATTATGATGAATGAATTGATTTGCAGATGAATTATCATCACAACTAATAACTCGAAGATCGCCAACATCACGTAAAGCTTTTACTTGTTGATCACGAATAGAACGATGAGGAATAAAAAAAAATGTTAAGAAATCTTCATGTTTTTTTTCTTTCTTTTTTTTCATGTAATAATATTTTATTAATAAAGCAGATATATAAGTTTTTCCTGCACCAGTTCGTAAACATACAATAGAATTTTCACTTTTAATTACAGATTGAACGAGTCCAACTTGAAAATCAAATGGACGACGTTGAATATTTAATGTAGACAGATATTCATCAGACCATACTGAACTTTTTTCAAAAGGTTCTAAATCTATATTTGAAAAATCTTGAATTTTCTCATTGGATAAATTGAGATCTGTTTCAGTGATCATTGTTGATGATTCCATGTCTTATAAGGCTTTTAAATTGATTCCGATTAATTATAATTAACGTTTGTTTGAATAAAATCGTACGTACGTCGTTTTATTTTCAGTTTATTATATGTCAGTAACTGGGAAAAAATACTTTGTTATCTTAGACAAAGAAAACAATGACTCATATCATAAGATAGATAAAAACATACTATAAAACTTTGGTGTCTAGGACATACAATGAGATAGATATTCATAATAATAATAAAAATTATCGGATGGGGTGTGGGTGTGAATGTGAATTGATGAATGAGGAGAAAGAGACGATATATACCTACACCCATATTCTCAATGATTGTATGTGTTTATGGTTATAGAAATTGTTTTTTCTTGTGAATAATAAAGGTTGCTATTTAGTAGGTATGAATATAATCAAAGAAGCTGTGATCAACAACAGTGGTTTTTTCTCCGTACTCCACCGATATTTTCTCTCGAGTAATTGGCCGTTAATCGTGTTCTTTTGTTATTCTTAAACCAGTTTTTGTTATCGTCTCAAATTCCAACAGGCCTTTAGTTACACCTACAATTTAGTTGCTTGTTTTCTCCTTTCTTTCTTTCCCTTTCTTCAAGTGTCTATGTGTTCTCTGTATCATTCAGTTCTCTCTTTTGTATTTCTTTTCTCGCCGTCTCCCTTAAATCAATGTGATCAATTCTAGTTGCTGTTATCTCACTTTAGCGCTCTTGTTTCTCTTATTCATCCTTTCCTTCATCGTCAACAAAAATCAGTTGCTGATATGCTCACAGTCGAGTAGTAGAGTCTAATGAGTAATCACTTTTACCCACGCAGACTGGAAAAGATCAGAATAACCAATTTTCACATGTGCATTCACCTATAGATAGAAAGGTTATCACAAACAGAGAATACACTTCACAATTCTTGCTTAGTGTGTTTTTCGGTTCTCTGTTTTCCTCATTATTTTTTCCTCGTTTTTTTGCACGTTCTGTATATAAGGAGAAAGAGAAACGGAATAAAACAAAAGTGGATAGTGACAATATATTTTTCGACACAGACTAATCAACAGATTTTATTGATGAGATATCTGATTTTTAGTTGACTTTCTTATAAAATCTTGAAGTTTGTCTTAAACTTTCAGTTTCTACTTTAACCACTAGTCACTCTTCATAATAGTAGTAGTTGTTATATTCCAGTTAAAAAAAATAAGAATGATCAAATCCTGATCGGGAATATTAGATAGTACTGTAGTGGTAAAAAAAGAGCGTTCATCGTTACCTATAAATTTACATTTTTTCGACAGTTGACTTAACTTCATCAAAATCTGTTTTACACGATATATTAGGTGGGATAAAATTTAGTTAGAAATACAGAGTATTCCAGAAAGTTGTATATCTTTTGTCATTTTTCATCGTTCTGTCTTTTTGGATAAAAACCTGCGAAATAAATCTGATTTAGTTTATTTTTTCAATTGTTTCTCGCTCTTCTAGTAGCTCTTTGTATAAAAATTCAAACGGACAAAATGATGGAAATTGAATGGTTTAAATATTAATATAGGGAGAGAAAAATGTAAAAACACAAAGTGTATACGAGTTTCTCAAACATCATGTACTATCTTTATTGACTACGATATTTTCATTGAGATTTAGATATTTTAGAATTAAAATAAAGTGCTTGGTTTAGTGAATTTTTTCATAAAATGGATAAATCAATGGAAGGACTCCATCTTGTTAAGAACGACAATGACTTGATTGATACGAAAGGTAAGTGCATTGCTCAGAATATAGCGTCTCACTTACAACTTAACAATTTATTTCTAGACCTCGCAGTAGAAACAACGAAAGGTGACGAAACACGTCTCGACTTGAATGCTGTCGACATTAACATTACTACTACTACTCGTACGACGGATGAGGAATTGGGACCAAACTATACCACTGCAATTCCTATACCTTCGTGTAATTCTGCTGACATTATCCCAAGGTTGATTAACGTGTATAAAAAACAGATGATGTGTGGAGCCGTGATTGTATTGATCATAGCTGTTGTTTCGATCATATTAAGCGGCATTTGTTTTTTCATTGTGATCAAGCTTGGAATAAGTAAAAGTACAGTAAGGTTGTTGGGAGCGGGCATTAGTGGGATCATTTTCGGTGTCTCTCTTTTGCCCTTATCCTATACCTTATATTATTCTTCACATAATGGCCTTGACTGGATGAACCACGTGGTACAAATAATTCAACTCAACGGTCAAACATGGCGAAGTCAATTAGATTCAAACCGCAATCGCGCTCTTAACCTGATCACTGGCATTTATCGTGGAAATAATGAATACGATCGTCTTAAAATGCGTCCTCAGGGTTATATTGTTCTGGCAGAAGACGGCATTATTATTGACGAACTCTTCGCGATTCAATATGAAACGTTTATTCCACTTCGCATTGATTTGATTGATAATACAACGCATACAGAAAACGTTCTCCGACTATTTCTCGCCACACGTCATCAATCGAAGGACGGGTCCGATAATGGCAAACAGATAGAATTTGAATTAAACATATTCATGGCAGCACATATGCAAGCTCAAGAGCTGGCTGACATCCGGCAGAGCATTCTTTCGAAGTGGAATAGACGTCTGACCCTCTCGGGATTTAATAAGAACTCTGTAGCTAATCAACATTTACGTGTTTAATAGTAGCTGAATAACGTCTTCATAGCGATCGTGGTATCACTTATATTAATGCGTTGCTATGAGCGCTATTTCGCGTTATTGTGAAAATTTGACCGCTTTGATACGATATAGCGCTGCTTTCCTAGTATTAGTAATTCTCATACTTAACTTGTAACACTTTCTGTTTTCCTTTTTACTTATTATATTTCGAGCAACAACAAACATACACATATTCAATGCTGAAAACGTTGTGAGTGTAAATACTAGAATCATCTGTCACTCACACCCGCTTTAATATTTCCCTTTTTTTGTCTTTCTTTAGCTTTCTGTTCTTCATTTTTGATATCTCTCTTCTTTTTACATTTATCAAAGTATACGAATGATTTTCGATCAGTACTGTGCGCTTTTTCATACCCTTGTGAAAAGCACAGCTGCTCTAAATAAATACAAGCTCTATCACATTCTTCTATCGACAAACTTTTCTAAAGAGTAGGCGACCGAATTTATTTTTGAAAAAAATCGAATTATGAAAAATACATTATTATATTATCTGTTACTATCAACTTCAACTTTGTTAGTTATAATATCGGCTAAATATATAAGTGGTGACCAAGGTAAATAATCATTTGTCTGTATTTGGCCGTGTTACGAGTTTATGATGGAAATGAATTGTAAAATCAATCAAAATTTATATATTTATAAGAATCGAGCAATACTTATCAAAGTCTATAAGGTTAAATTTGTATTTCAGGTCTTGCTCAATTTGATTTAAATCAAAAAGCAACTCCTCAAGATTATAATGGACCTTGGGGAGAAGGAGTCACATGTCCTTACAACAATCCTCGTAAATAACTTTTTTTGCGCCTACTATTTTGTTGTTACTTATTTTCTCTTTTGTTTTTTCGTACTTTAGCTTTTCCTGACGGTACCACCACATATAAAGGTACAGTTCCATCTGCCATGACTACTGATGCTGTGAATTATCTTCGAGATTCAAATGTTGGAATGTTTCAAGTTAGCGACACTAAAACATATCCTAATTTAGACAATCTCTATTTTGTGATGAGAAAAGAATTTCATACTTGGCATTATTCTGGTGGCCAACTCTTAACTGGTTGCTGGACAGGTGTCACTATCTATCAATATATCAATCAACCATAAACTAACATCTCATGAATTAGAAAGGTTTCTCTATAATATACTTGTTAAAACAGACAAGTGTACATATTTTGATTTTATTATTATTATATACAGTAAAGGAACCATTGTTACTATAAAAAACGATTGAAAGGATTTTAAATATAATTTTTCAATCAAAGATCACGAACACACATAGTAGCAAAAAGTATTAAGAGAGCGTTCATGAAACGATCACTCTAAAGGGCAGTGTTATATCCACACCCACCCATCTCTGAAAAGACTATGTATGTGACTTAATTTCAGTTTTGTGTTCATTCAGACTCTACAGATGAACATGAACATAACCTTTTTGTTGAGATCTAGATGTTATTCAGTACGTAAATATATACTTGTACAACGTTTCATCTCGTTGTTGTACTTCTTCTTTATTAATTACAACAATTAGAGTTTTTCTTTGAGCTGCTTGTGTTATATTACCATCTGCGCAGGTCGAACGACATTTCTTCTTCCTGTTGGTTGTCCAAATAGATTAGTTAATTGCTTTCGATATGTTGTTGATATATAAAAACTGATAAGAAACGATGAAGAATATGTAATATAAAGGAAAACACTAATCACAGCCAATATAAAATTTTCTACAGCTATTCTTTCACCAGATTTGATCGGTACAGTTATAGAAGCAATAGCTGAATACACAAAATATACTGTATAGGGACCTAAAGAAATTAAAGCAAAGAGTATTCGAAGAAATATAGCTAATGTTAGTGAACGTTGAGCTTTTCGAAGATGAACTCTTCCATGTAATTTAAAATAAGTTAAAATAATCATAATTACCATAATACCCAAAGGTAGTGTACCAAAAAGCACCGGTATACAAAAAAATGATGCATATTTAGCAAAAATTAAATTATACATTGGTGTACAACTAATACTCGTACTTGATCGAAGTATTTGAGTAAGAATAAAAAATGGGAGACCTTCAGTAGCAATAATGAAAGTAACTAAAAATGTTATCCAACGAACGAAAGATATATTACTCAACTGTCGCCATCGTACAGTACGACAACTGCTAAAGAATCGTTCGATTGACATTAAAGAAACACTATAGATAGCGATCAATGTTGTTATACGTAATCCATAAGTTCTAATTTTACACCACATAAGATTAGTTAAAGTAGGATCGATATTGAATCCTACAGATAAAATACGTGG